GAAAAGTATTCCCTGTTTAACAAATGGTGTTGGGAAAACTGGCTAGTCATGTGCAGAAAGCAGAAACTGGACCCCTTCCTGACACCTTACACTAAAATTAACTCCAGATAAATTAAAGACTTAAACATAAGACCTGGCACCATAAAAACCCTAGAAAAAAATCTAGACAAAACCATCCAGGACATAGGATTAGGCAAGGACTTCATGAAGAAAACACCAAAAGCATTAGCAACAAAAGCAAAAATAGACAAATGGGACTTAATCAAACTCCACAGCTTCTGCACGGCAAAAGAAACAGTCATGAGAGTGAATCGGCAACCAACAGAATGGGAAAAAATTTTTGCAGTTTACCCATCTGACAAAGGGCTGATATCCAGAATTTACAAAGAACTCAAATGGATTTACAGGAAAAAAAACAAACAAGCCCATTCAAAAGTGGGCAAAGGATATGAACAGACACTTTACAAAAGAAGACATATATGAGGCCAGCAATCATATGAAAAAATGCTTATAATCACTGGTCATCAGAGAGATGCAAATCAAAATCATATTGAGATACCATCTCATGCCAGTTAGAATGGTGATCATTAAAAAATCTGGAGACAACAGATGCTGCAGAGGATGTGGAGGAAAAGGAACACTTTTACACTGTTGGTGGGAGTGTAAATTAGTTCAACCATTGTGGAAGACAGTGTGGCGATTCCTCAAGGCCTTAGAATAGAAATGCCATTTGTCCCAGCAATCCCATTACTGGGTATATATTCAAAGGACTATAAATCGTTCTACTATAAGGACACATGCACACGAATGTTCATTGCAGCACTGTTTACAATAGCAAAGACCTGGAATCAACCCAAATGCCCATTGATGATAGACTGGATTGGGAAAATGTGGCACATATACACCATGGAATGTTGTGCAGCAATCAGAAATGATGAGTTTGTGTCATTTGTAGGGACGTGGATGAATCTGGAGAACATCATTCTCAGCAAACTGACACAAGAACAGAAAATGAAATACTGCATATTCTCACTCATAGGTGGGTGATGAAAAATGAGAACACATGGACACAGGGAGCAGAGTACTAAACACTGGGGTCTATTGGGGAGAAAAGGGGTGGGCCAGCGGGAGGGGGTGCTGGGGAGGGATAGCCTGGGGAGAAATGCCAAATGTGGGTGAAGGGGAGAAGAAAAGCAAAGCACACTGCCATGTGTGTACCTACGCAACTGTCTTGCATGTTCTGCGCATGTACCCCCAAACCTACAATGCAATAAAAAAGTAAAAAAAAAAAATGACAGTATCAAATTCACACATAAAAATATTAACCCTAAATGTAAATGGGCTAAATGCACCAATCAAAAGTCACAGACTGGCAAATTGGATAAAAACTCAAAACCCATCTGTGTGCTGTATCCAGGAAACCCATCTCACATGCAAGGATACACAAAGGCTCAAAATAAAGGGATTGAGGAAGATTTACCAAACAAATGGAGAGAAAAGAAAAAAAAGCAGGAATTGCAATTCTCATCTCTGATAAAATAGACTTTAAAGCAACAAAGATCAAAAGAGACAAAGAATAACATTACATAATGGTAAAAAGATCGATACAACAAGTAGAGCTGACAATCCTTAATATATCCAGACCCAATACAGGAGCACCCAGATACATAAGGCAAGTTCTTAATGACTTACAAAGAGACTTAAATGCCCACACAATAATAGTGGGAGACTTTAACACTCCACTGTCAATATTAGACAGATCAACCAGACAGAAAATTAACAAGGATATCCAGGACTTGAACTCAGACCTGGAACAAGCAAACCTGATAGACAGTTACAGAACTCTCCATCCCAAATCCACAGAATATACATTCTTCTCAGCACCACATCACAAATACTCTAAAATTGACCACAGAATTGGAAGTAAATCACTCCTCAGCAAGTGCAAAAGAGTGCATCATAAGAGTCTCTCAGACCACAGTGCAATCAAGTTAGAACTCAGAATTCAGAAACCAACCCAGAATCACACAGCTTCATGGAAACTGAACAACTGGCTCATGAATGTTGATGGGATTAACAAAAAAAAAGAAGTCAGAAATAAAGAAGTTCTTCAAAACCAATGAGAATGAAGACACAACATACCAGAATCTCTGGGACACATTTAAAGCAGTCTCTAGAGGAAAATATATAGCAATAAGTGCCCACATGAGAAGACAGAAGAGATCCAAAATTGATACCCTATCCTCAAAATTGAAAGAGGTAGAGGGGCAAGATCAAAAAAACTCAAAACCTAGCAGAAGAAAAGAAATAACTAAGATCAGAGCAGAACAAAGGAGACAGAGACACGAAAAACCCTTCAGAAAATCAATAAATCCAAGAGCTGGTTTTTCGAAAAGATCAACAAAATAGACAAACTATAGCTAGATTAATAAAAAAGAAAAGAGAGAATAACCAAATAGACGCCATAAAAAATGATAAAGGAGAAATCACCACAGATCCCACAGAAATTCAAACCATCATCAGAGAATATTACAAACAATTCTGTGCACATAAACTAGTAAACCTGGAAGAAATGGATAAATTCCAGGACACTTGTGTCCTCCCAAGCCTAAACCAGGAAGAAGTCAAAACCATGAATAGACCAATAACAAGATCTGAAGTTGAGGCAGCAATTAAGAGCCTACCACACAAAAAAAGCCCAGGTCCAGATAGGTTCACAGCTGAATTCTATCAGAAACACAAAGAGGAACTGTTACCATTCCTTCTGCAACTATTCCAAATAATCCAAAAAGAGGGAATCCTTCCCAAATCATTTTATGAGATCAACATCATCCTGATACCAAAACCTGGCAGAGGCTCAGCAAGAAAAGAAAACTTCAGGCCAATATCCATGATGAACATAGATGCAAAAATCCTCAATAACATACTGGCATGCCAATTGCAATAGCACATCCAAAAGCTTATCCACCATGATCAAGTAGGATTCATCCTGGGGATGCAACTCTGGTTCAACATATGCAAGTCTATAAACATAATTCACCACATAAACAGAACCAAAACCAAAAACCAATTATCTCAGTTGATGCAGAGAAGGCCTTTGACAAAATTCAACAGCGCTTTATGCAAAAACCCTCAATAAACTCAGTATTGATGGAACATATCTCAAAATAATAAAAGCTATTTATGACAAACCAACAGCCAATATCATACTGAATGGGCAAAATCTGAAAGCATTCCCTTTGAAATCTGGCACTAGACAAGGATGCACTCTTTCACCACACCTATTCAATATAGTACTGGAAGTTCTAGCCAGAGCAATCAGGCAAGAAAAACAAATAAAGGGTATTCAAATAGAAAAGGAGGAAGCCAAATTGTCTCTATTTGCAGACTACATGATAGTATATCTAGAAGACCCCATGGTCTCAGCCCAAAATCTCCTGAAACTGATAAGTAACTTCAGCAAAGTCTCAGGATAGAAAATCAATGTGCAAAAATCAGAAGCATCCCTATACACCAATAACAGACTTAAAGAGAGCCAAATCAAGAATGAACTTCCATTCACAATTGCTTCAAAGAGAATAAAATACCTAGGAATACAACTAACAAGGAACATAAAGGACCTCTTCAAGGAGAACTACAAACCATTGCTCAACAAAATAAGAGAGGACACAAACAGATGGAGAAACATTCCATGTTCATGGTTAGGAAGAATCAATATTGTGAAAATGGCCATACTGCCCAAAGTGATTTATAGATTCAACGCTATCCCCATCAAGCTACCAATGACCTTCTTCACAGAACTGGAAAAAAACACCTTAAACTATATATGGAACCAAAAGAGAGCCCGCATAGCAGAGTCAATTATAAGTAAAAAGAACACAGCGGGAGGCATCACACTACCTGACTTCAAACTATACTACAAGGCTACAGTAATCAAAACAGCATGGTACTGATACCAAAACAGAGATATAGACCAGTGGAACAAAATAGAGACATCGGATTCAACACAACATATCTACAATCATACAATCTGGATAAACCTGACAAAAACAGGCAATCGGGAAAGGATTTTCTGTTTCATAAATGGTGTTGGGAAAACTGGCTAGCTATGTGCAGAAAGAAGAAACTGGACCCCTTCCTGACACCTTACACTAAAATTAACTCCAGATGGATTAAAGGCTTAAACATAAGACCTAACACCTTAAAAACCCTAGAAGAAAATCTAGGCAAAACCATTCAGGACATAGAAGTAGGCAAGGACTTCATGATGAAAACACCAAGAGCATTGGCAACAAAAGCCAAAATAGACAAATGGGACCTTATCAAACTCCACAGCTTCTGCACAGCAAAAGAAACAGTCATTAGAGTGAATGGGCAAACAACAGAATGGGAAAAAATTTTTGCTGTTTACCCAGCTGACAAAGGGCTGATATCCAGAATTTACAAAGAACTAAAACAGATTTACAAGAACAAAACAAACAATCCCATTCAAAAGTGGGCAAAGGATATGAACAGACACTTTACAAAAGAAGACATACATGAGGCCAACAAACATATGAAAAAATGCTCATCATCACTGGTCATTAGAGAAATGCAAATCAAAACTACATCAAGATACCATCTTACGCCAGTTAGAATGGCGATCATAAAAAAATCTGGAGACAACAGATGCTGGAGAGGATGTGGAGAAATAGGAACACTTTTACACTGTTGGTGGGAGTGTAAATTAGTTCAACCATTGTGGAAGACAGTGTGGTGATTCCTTGAGGAAATAGAAATAGAAATAGAAATTCCATTTGACCCAGCAATCCCATTACTAGTTATATATCCAAAGGATTATAAATCTTTCTACTATAAGGACACATGCACAGGAATGTTCGTTGCAGCACTGTTTACAATAGCAAAGACCTGGAATCAACCCAAATGCCCATCGATGATAGACTGGACAGGGAAAATGTTTTTTGTTTTCTGTTGTTTTTTTTTTGAAACAAAGTGCGGTGTCTCACACTGCAGGTGCTCCGGCTCTGACATGTGCACTTCTTTATTGTAAAAGAATAAAGCAGTCACTGACATGCCAAGGTCAGGACACGAGCAGCTGCTGTCCTCCTCCCAGTGTGCCTGGCATGGTGGCAGGGGAGTGGGTGCCTGGGGTCCCGGGATATCATGGGGCACACTGAGGGAGCTGAAGAGCTGAGGCCACATAGCCTCCCAGACGCTCAGTGGATCGTGTACTTGTCCCACTTCTTCTCGGGGTTGTAGGGTTCCCAGCGGCTGGCAGGGAAGATGTGCTTGTTCTTCTCATACCAGCTCCTCAGCACTACCTTGCCTGCATGTGACTCATCTTTCTCCACGGTGGCATCACTGAGCAACCGAATGTCATCGTGAATGTCAAAGTTGAAGAGCGGCCCACTCTTCCCCCATGCCTTGGTGACGATGAAGTCATAGAAGCTGTGATAATGCGGGATGATCAAGTCCTCCTTGATGTACATGAGCTGCTCCTCCCCTGCAGATCTCAGCTCACTGAAGTCTTTCTGGAGGATCTCCAGCGCCTTCTGCAGGAACTGCTGCAAGGTATTGCCCTTTCTCATCTTGACTGTCCACCAGTGCCCAAAGCAGTCCCAGTAGCTGAAGGTGATCTCAATCTCCTCGCTCTTGATCTTCTCCTGCTTGGCTTCCCACTCCTGCTGCAGCTCTTCTGAAGCTGATTCTCCTCCTCCTCACAGTCTTGATCAGGCAAACCTGCCTGCTTTTTTTTTTTTTTTTTAAAGATAGGTTTTTATTCATCAAAAGTTAACAGCAACAGTCACATATTAAAATGAGTATGGCAAAACCTTTTACAAATGGCTTTACAGTCAAGCTTTCTCCCAAGAAAATGGCTGTTGCAACAAACTGTAAACATAATTAATATACAGTCTTTTACAGTAACAAGGGAATTACAAATGAACTAGAAGAAAGCACCGGTTTCTCTTAAAAATACACCATGGAATATTATGCAGCAATCAGAAATGATGAGTTTGTGTCGTTTGTAGGGACATGGATGAATCTGGAGAACATCATTCTCAGCAAACTGACACAAGAACAGAAAATGAAATACCGCATATTCTCACTCATAGGCGGGTGATGAAAAATGAGAACACATGGACGCAGGGAGGGGAGTACTAAACACTGGGGTCTATTGGGGGGAAAAGGGGAGGGCTAGTGGGAGGGGGAGCTGGGGAGGGATAGCCTGGGGAGAAATGCCAAAGGTAAGTGAAGGGGAGAAAGGAAGCAAAACACACTGCCATGTGTGTACCTATGCAACTGTCTTGCATGTTCTGCACATGTACCCCAAAACCTAAAATGCAATTAAAAAAAAAACTAGATTACAGTTGTGCTTACTATACATAAAACAATTTAAAACAAATTACAAAAGTGGAATGTTTGAAGTTTAAAATTAGTCCTTATATTTTGTCCTAGAAAACTTCTGTTCACATCAAAAGGCCCATCAAAGGGTAACGTTTTATCAAAGGGAGGGACAAGAAAACAATGCACTTTTTTTCAAATCAAAACGAGAAGTTTGGTCACTTAGCTTTGTGCATAGTTTAAGGCAACTAGAGCAATCTGTTACAGCTTACCTACCGACCTTCCCCTCCCCCAAGTGTGGCTGCTCATATGTCACATTCTAAAATAATAAATAAAACTTACATTTCAATCTTTTCCCACATGGAGAAACATAACATGCACAGTCACACATGAACAAACATGCATGGAAACACACATCCATACATTGTGGATCCAAACAAAATACACTTTTTTTTTTTTTGTCTACTTTGTTTATTTATTCAAAAAAAGCCCACGATTCTTTGGGAGGTGGTACAGGATTGTTTTCCAGTTAGATCATATTTTTTTTTAATTTTGCATAACAAGTTTATTTTTTTAAAGGCCTATAGACAATAAACAAAGTAAATAATCAGATCTTAACTTCTGTCCTAGAATTGTTCTGTTAAGTTCTAGTCTGTAAGCACTTTTAGTTCAATAATCATCATCTTCATCAGAGTCCATTACCTTTCTTCTGTTGAATTTCACTGTTGTTGTCTTTTCTGTTCGCTGGCTTACTTTTTAAAGGATTTCTATTAAACCTTGTTCTGATACCTTCTCACTTATTTGTCCATATCTTGCCATCTGTATAAGGTAATTCTCTACTGCTTTAGTTCTTTCAGGCTTTACAAGTGCCAAGTTACTTAACCTGACCCGGGCTGACTGATCCAGTACTTGGGCTAAAATATTGTTTCTCATCTCTGCTTCCCTGTGCTTTGCTTCCTGTTGTGCCACATCACCAGGATCCCCATGCTTGGCCTGTAGATCGGCCAGCCTCTGCCTTCTCAGCGCCTCCAGCTCCTCTTCCGCCATGGCGCGGCGTCCGCAGTGGAGCAGCTGCTATCACTCAGCAGACCCTCGGCAGGAGCACGGCTCTGACCACTCTTTTTTTTCTTTTTTCAATGTCTTTATTAAGAAATATCAAAAGTTGATTACAGGTCCATACACAGTTTTACAAAGTTCAAGTGAAGAAGAATGTAGGGATGCCATAAGTGTGGATGTCTGAAGACTATGGAAGCTTGTCAAAGGGGTAACCTTACAACTCCTGTCACTTTGATGGTGGTCCACAGCAAATGCTTTTCCCCCATTTCTACTAGGCCATTGCACAATACTTTAAGTAACTCTTAAGTTACTTAAAAGAGTTTTAATACGTTGTAAATACATACCTGTTTGTCCTTTTAGTTTGTTATCATCCTTTCATTAAAAAGCTGAGCTGTTTATAGGAAGCACACATTTGAGTCCCATTCACTGCTGTTTGCATCATATTTTCACAAAGCCTGCTTTGAAAGCTGACAAACACTGCAAGTTACATATAACCATATTACACATGGGAGGACCCATACACATCGTTATTTTTAAATTTAACATTGGGAAAAAAAAGAAGGAATCACTTCACTTGGAAACAAAACACCAAGGTCAGTCAGTAGAATGGTCAAGAGTAGGACAAGCCTGCCAGTTCCACTGAACTGCAGTCACGAGTGGTCAATAGCATGACCGAGAACAACTGGATTCAGGAACACCATCACAAAATACAGATGGAAATACTCTTGGGGGTGGTACATATCATCTTGTACGTGAAGAATATTGGATCAGAGGGGAATTACACTTTCAAAATAACCAGGGCTAGTAAGTCATCAGTACCAGATGGGGAACAGCAATGGTGTGGCATGCCTTGTTTAAGGCTTTTGCTGGTTTATCTAAAAGTAGGTTTCTTAAAAGATTGTCCAGCAGCATCAGAAAGGGCCACTTTCACAGGAAGGACTCCTTGTTCACCCACATCAGGCTGCATGTCTCATTGGGCTTGCATTCATACTCAATGACGGAGAAGGGGCTTTCCCACTGGCAGTGATCCCGCTTGTGGCAATTATAGAACTTGACCTGCCACACCGTCTCGAAGGTCCCATTGTCTGTGAACAGCATGGTGATCTGGATGGCTTGCCGTTCTTTACTCTTGGTTTGGGTCACACCTTCTGTGACGTGCAGCTAGAACGCATCATTGTGTACTACAAAGAGGCTAGTGGTGGCAGGTACGTGGCCCGCGCTGTGCTCATGGATCTGGATCCAGGCACCATGGACTCTGTGAGCTTAGGGCCCTTCGGGCAGATCTTTGGGCCAGACAACTTCAACTTTGGTCAGTGTGGGGCCAGGAACAACTGGGCCAAGGGGTACTATACAGAAGGCGTGGAGCTGATGGAGTCGGTGATGGATGTTGTGAGAAAAGAAGCTGAGAGCTGTGATTGCCTGCAGGGTTTCCAGCTGACCCACTTCCTGGGTGGGGGGACTGGGTCTGACATGGGTACCCTTCTCATGGGCAAAATTCACGAGGAGTACCCAGCCAGGATCATAAACACATTCAGCATCCTGCCCTTGCCCAAGGTGTCAGAAACTGTGGTGGAGCCCTACAATGCCACCCTCTCCATCTACCAGCTCACTGAAAATGCAGACAAGACATTCTGCATCAATAATGAAGTGCTCTATGACATCTGTTCCAGGACCTTAAAACTGCTACCATGAGTGGGGTCACCATGTGCCTGCACTTCCTGGGCCAGCTGAATTCTGGCCGTGAACATGGTTCCATTTCCCCGGCTGCACTTCTTCATGCCCGGCTTTGCCCCACTGACCAGTTGGGGCAGCCAGCAGTACTGGGCTCTGACCATGGCTGAGCTCACTCAGCAACTCTTCAATGCTAAGAATATGATGGCCACCTGTGACCCCTGTCATGGCCGCTACCTAACCATGGCTGCCATTTTCAGAGGTCACATGTCCATGAGGGGGATGGATAAGCAAATGTTCAACATTCAGAATAAGAACAGCAGCTACTTTGCTGAATGGCTCCTTCAAAACGTGAAAACAGCCGTCTGTGACATCCCACCCTGGGGGCTAAAAATGTCGGCCACCTTCATTGGTATCAACACAGCAATCCAAGAGCTCTTCAAATGTGTGTCCGAACAGTTTACAGCTATGCTCAGGCGCAAGGCCTTCCTGCACTGGTACACGGGCGAGGGCGTGGATGAGACGGAGTTCACTGAGGCCGAGAGCAACGTTAATGACCTGGTGTCAGAATACCAGGAAAACCAAGATGCCACAGCTGAGGAGGAGGAGTTTGAGGAGTGTGCTGAGGAGGAGGAAGTAGCCTAGAAGCTTCCTTGTCTAGGTAAAGGGGGAAGCAATGTAGATTTTTTAGTGTGCTCTGATAGCCATTGTTACTACACACTTCTTTGAGTCTTTACATCTCCTCCTGCTGCATTTTAAAGCATTTTCATAGTAAGTAGTTTGGCCTAATAAAGCACTTTCATAGCAAAAAAAAAAAAAAAAAAACCTCCCATCTCCACCTCCTGAGTAGTTGGGACTATAGATGTGTGCCACCAGGCCCTGCTTGTTCTTGTAGAGATGAGGATCTCACTAGGCTGCCCAGACTTGTCTCCCAGGTTCACACAATCCTCCCCCCTCGGTCTCTCAAGGTGCCACTGTGAGCCACTGAGCCCAGCCCAGTTCTATGGTTTTACAGTATTTCTCAACCTTCTTGATTTTTAGAGTTGATGGCTACACCTAAATTTCTCCTCCTTTATTACACAATACCTGTCTTTATCTTCATTGTCTCACTAATTCAGGAACTGAATGCTCTATTTTATTGGTAACATGCCATATCCTTCAAAACTATACATCCTCCAAGGTGTGGTTAATTTCTGCTTTTAACAGGAAAATCACAGGCCTGCCTGCTTGAGTCCCCCTTCAAGTACTCAGTATTTGAGTGTCTACTAAGTTGTAACAGTTAACGCACAACATGAAAGCAGGCAGGCCTTTTTTTTTAATGCCAAATTGCAGGGTCTTTATTGCCAGAGGCCATGGAGGACTCACGTCTCTCCAACCCATGGCCCCAAAAGGAGGGTGACAAGACCTTTTTATGCCCTTAAACCACCTCCAGGGTGAGGGTGTGGGGCAGGAGTGGGGCTGAAGGGATTCAGACAATCTGAGGGCCAGGGGATTCCGTAAATCACCTCCTGGGCAGAGATGAGGGTGAGGGTCTCTGGACATTCCAAGGGCTAGGGGACTTGTTGTCACTTCGATTGTTACCTAAGTGGTTTACAGAAGTCAAGATAAGCATTAGTTTACACATCATCTGGGTAGTGGTGGAAATTACAGATCTTAGTTACTTACTACAAGTCACCAGGGCCAAGATGGAATTAGCTTGGATTGCTTACTTTGGTCATTACTGGTAAGCAAAGTCTAGCAATTCTGGCAGTTACTGATAAGAAAAGGTAAGCAGCTTTACATAGTGGACATTTTGCAGAGCAAGCTAGCAGCTTTATTTAGAGAAGCCAAGGTTAGCTGTCATTGTGAGGAGAATGGGGCAGCCGTTACAACTTATTTTTGGAAAACAGCTTTGTCTTGTGTAAAATGGTGTTGCTCAGGTTCCAGCTATAGCACATTCCCCCCATTCTTTTAACATGTATTAAATCTTTAATTGTTTACCTCTTCTCAGTACAGGGGCCCATAGTTGGATCTCAGAACCATTAACTTTACTGAATCTATTCTTTCCCGGATAAATCTGAGAAGCATGTTTAAAAGGCATGGTCCAAATATTAGCCCTAGGACCATTAGGATCAAGGGTCCTGCTAATCCTGTGAGTAGGGATGCTATCCAGGAGGACCAAGAGAACAGTTGTTGGTACCAATTTTCTAAGACCTCCTTGAGGTGTTTTCTTATTTTTAAGTTTTGCCTAACCATTGCAAGGCTGTCCCAAATGAGCCCGGATTTGTTTGTGTAGAAGCAACATTGTTCGCTGAGTGCGACGCACAGCCCTCCTTCCTTTAAGAACAACAGATCTAATCCTCTCCTATTTTGTAATACCATTTCAGCCAAGGAGTCCACCTGGTCTGTCATTTGGGAAATGGAGTGCCCTGTGGAGAAGAGGAGACTCAGCTGTCCCTCAGCAGCTTGTGCCAGGATCCCAGGGCAGAAGCTTTGCAGGAGCCTCTCCCAATATGGACCAAGATCCCTGAATGAGAACTTGAATCATAGGCAACATGGCTTATGAAAGTTGAATTGCAAAAATTCTGAATTTAAAGATTTAAATTTAGCAAAACATCACATAGTTCACTAAACAAATAAAATTTTTGACATTGTTTTATTCATATCGACTATATATATTTATTTTTTTATCAATAGCAAACTTGCTGAACTGAAGAAAGAAAGGAGGTGCTTCATGAATCTACTAATATACCCTTATGGCAATGGGTATAATACTGGCTACCCCAAAATAATCTTCAGGCATTTTTTGCCATCACACTATCACAGTTGTGATGTGGATGCTACCACCTAGAGGCCAGGGGTGTTGCTGAACATCCTGCAATGTACAGGACATCCTTGTTCCCCCAGCTGACAACAAAGAATTACCAGCCCCAAATGTCAATAGTGCTGATTTGAGAAACCCTGATTTATACTAACTAAAAAGCTGGACAGGAATTTCTCTACTTCTTTGTCCTCTCTTCCCCTGACTTTTATTTTTAGAATAATGTCATAATTTGTCCAAATGAACCATTTCTTGAAACTTAAATGAGAGCTGTTGTGGCTGAAATCACTCAGGAGTCTTGAAGCTCATGGTTCTGCATCCCATCACCCTTTGAGAAGGCCCTTAAGGCTCCTAAACATGACATCAGAGCTCTGAAGAATACAATTTAAAATGTACAGCCCTCTAACATGGGTACCACTACCATTTCTCTTTTTTTTTTTTTAAGAAAGAGAAAAAAAAAAAAAAGAATGAAGGAGAGGAAGAAAGAGGAAGAGAAAGAGGGAGAGAGAACGGGAGTGTTGCTTTATTCTAAAAATGGGTATTGAAAACCTCTTTTATGCCAATAATTGTGCTTTATAATGGCCAACTGATATTTCATTTAAACCTGTGAGTAGGTGTGATGCGATACTGATAAGAGTGCATATTCTGTGTATTTAAAGTGGAGAGTTCTATAAATGTTTATTAAGTTTTACTTGTTTTGGATCTGAGTTCAAGTCCTGGATATCCTTATTTTCTGTCTCGTTGATCTATCTAATATTGATGTTGTAGTCTCCCACTAGTATTGTGTGGGAGTCTAAGTCTCTTTATAGGTCTTATGTATCTGGGTGTTCCTCTATTCTCTACTTCTTTGCATATATGCAAAACCCATATATGGGTTTTGGCTGTATCTTTTGATTGGGGAATTTAGTCGATTTAAATTTAGGGTTACTGCCATTTGATGTTAGCTGGCTGTTTTGCCCATTAGTTGATGTAAATTCTTCATTATGTTGATGCTCTTTACTTTTTGGTATATTTTTGGAAAGGCTAATACTAATTGTTCCTTTCTATGTGTAATACTTCTTTCAGAAGCTCTTGTAAAGCAGGCCTGGTGGTAATGAAATCTCTGAGTACTTGCTTGTTCACAAAAGATTTTATTTTTCCTTTGCTTGTGAAGCTTAGTTTGGCTGGATATGAAATTGTAGGTTGAAAGTTCTTTTCTTTAAGGATGTTGAATATTGGCTTCCACTCTCTTCTGGCTTGTAGGGTTTCTGCTGAGAGATCTGCTGTAAGTCTGATAGGCTTCCCTTTATGGGTAACCTGACCTTTCTCTCTGGCTGCCCTTAGTATTTTCTCAAAAAAAAAAAGTATATTAATCATGTATATTAATTGCACATGCTAATAAACTGTATAACCTGCCTTTTTTATTAAAAAAATCACATCACCATGTGGTAATATATCCTACTACATTTTATTGTTGTTAAGAAATGCACAGCGATACAATATGTTATTGCCAATCCATTATATAACCTAATCCATTGTATGTCTTAATGCCAATCCATCATATAATCTAATCTTTTATATACCTTAATATTGTATTAGTCCCTATTTCTTTCATTTTATTTTTACTGTTTTAAATAATCCTGTGATAATCTTTTTTTGCAAATGTATTTTCATACCCTTGTCCAATTATCTTCTCAAATGAATTTCTAGAAATAGAATATTTGCTTAGGAATATACATACTTTAAATTTTTACACATTTTGAAGCTGTATACCCAATGGGGAGTTTCTATTCACACCACCAGGAGACTGCTCTTTTCCCACATTTCAGTCCACACAAATATTATTCATTTTGTTTTAATTTTTCAACTTAGATATCTTAATAAAAACTGTATCCAACTAGTTTTTATTTGCACTGCATGATTCTTATTAAGGGCTAATATCTCTTTGTATGTTTGTTTGTCACTTTTCATATTGTTTCACTTTTCTCTTGAAT